AATATAGATGAGTTAACTAGTAACCAATAGAAGTAAGAATTAGAAATGCATATGTATACGTGTTATCATATATAAGTAATAGAAAAGTTATGTTAGATGCCTCACTCAGACAGAGTGGGGACAGTTTTGTATCTTTTGTCTAAAAAAAGATAAGGGACTCCTTTTAAATGAGCTGTTGACCAGTTCTGAGACTACTGAATCAGGCAGCCGCACCTAGCCTTCGGGTTAGAAAGCAAGGGCTTGATTTGGGAACCTCGTGAACCAACAGACCTCCTTAGTTTATGACTTTGTGAAACAATAAAAGTTTTAAATTGAACATCCAGGTCTGAGCCTGTGCTTAATTCAGTCCTTATATAATTCGGCACGAACTCACACAGAAGCCAACTTGGTATTTAAATAAAATAAAATGCAATTTTTAGGAAGTTTGTGGGATTCATATTTTAGTTGCCAACAACATGCATGTCTAGAACATGTTAAATCTGGTAGCAAAAATTTTAAAACAGATGCCAAACCCTTCACTCTCAGTAAAAACAAACAAACAAATAAAATGAAAATATCATGCCACAGCATTCAAGCTGTTTGGGTCATCAGTGCAAAGACTATTTTAGACCAGATCCAGGTGTGTGCATTCATACACAGATGCAGTAAAACAAATTTATCTAACTTTAGTGCTAGAAGCTGTAGCATATAAGCATATCATATATACTTATGCTATCCTATGTATTTATACTACCAAATTAAAATGAGAAAAATGAAGAATTGTTACAGCATATATCTTTATATACGAGATATACATTAACACTTCCATAAGTTTACTGCATTTTATAGATGTAAGAAGTTCAAACTTTAAAGGGCCTTCATAAGGCTTTCACCGAAAGCTGAACTCACCGCTATTCGCAGGATCGAGGCTTTCACTGAGGTCCATTTGTCTTGCCTACGATCTATGACAAGGATAAATCCAATTCCAGCATCTCGCAAGCTAAGTTTGGAGGGAATAAAAGAAAAACTATAGTTACAACACACAGCTGAAATCTGTCTCCAGTTCTCTGAAGCCATAGTTCACAGTTGAGCAAAATTAGTAAATTAACCTTCTTGCGCTGAACCTTAAGTTATTTCAATTATGCATGTGACTGCATACAGTTACCATGAGGAAGACAGTGCTCCCAAATGGATTTGATGCAGCTTCATTTAGTCAACACACAGAACTGCCATCAACCATAGGAGGCAAGATTTTTGCATGTCCTGTACCAAAATTCCTTGAAGAGAATGTACGTCCCTTCAGTTTTTTAGGAGGATTGTTACAAACATAATCCATCTTTCACGTACTTTTTGAAATTCAAGGTTGAAAATAGAATCATTTCCCTTCTACAAATGTTACTGTAAACTCCCTCTTGGATTCATTCCTTACTCTGTTGGTGTCTGAACCCATTTAAAAAACACAAGCTCCTAGGATCCATGCCTCCCATTAATTCTTGCATCTGAATTTTTCAGTCTTCCATGTTAGAAACTTCCTAATAGGGGAATTTTTATATTCAAAGCAAAAAATCCCCACGGAATCCAAGAGCTCAAAGTCATACACTAGAAAAAGAAGATAAGATGCACTTCTTTGGGAAGGAAACATCTGTGAGAAAGATCACACTCGAATCCACTTGTAAAGATGACCTTTGTTTTTCTGCTGCATTCAACTGCAAGTCTTACAGTCACAGAGTACAAATAAAGAAATCTGCTACTGTTTTGTATTTCACATCCAAGCCAACTGTGTGATGCCAGCAGCAGACTTGCCAGCCAATCGCTACTGGAATGAAAATGACAGGCAAGTACAAGGCAAGCTGCCTTGAATGCCTTTTTTTTTTTT